CAAGGTCCCTTCCAACTCTAGAGATCTAGAATTCTATGACCTCCAAGGTCCCGTCTAATATTAGGAGTCTATGATTCTACGGCCTCCAAGGTCCCTTCCAACCCTAGAAGTCTATGATTCTATGACCTCTAAGGTCCCTTCCAACTCTAGAGATCTAGAATTCTATGACCTCCAAGGTCCCGTCTAATATTAGGAGTCTGTGATTCTACCACCTTCCAATCCTAGTAGTCTATGATTTTATGATTTTCAAAGTCCCTTCCAACTTCGGGATATCTTAAAGAGGCCCAGCTGGAGAAACATGGCAATAAACGCAGACAGCCCTTGTTATATCTTGGTGAGTATCTGATGGCAGCAATTCGGTATAAAATTCATCTGCGCAAATTTACTATTCTATCTTTCCCCCCCGGATCAGAAAAGGGGAGGAGTGGATCATAATGGCAAATTACAACTTTTAAAGTAGATTCCAACCCCAGACAAACCGACATCGAAATACAAGCCTACCATACCCCATTCTGAGCTGTAATCACAGAAATATTTACTCTGATACAAAGATGATTAGGGAACTGGAGGCCAAAGCATATAAGGAACGGTTGCTGGAATTGGGTATGTCTAGTTTAATGAAGAGAAGGACGAGGGGGGACATGATAGCAGTCTTCCAGCATCTCAGGGGCTGCCTCAAAGAAGAGGGAGTCAAGCTATTCTCCAAAGCACCTGAAGGCAGAACAAGAAGCAACGGGTGGAAACTAATCAAGGAGAGAAGCAACCTAGAACTAAGGAGAAACATCCTGACAGTTAGAACAATTAACCAGTGGAACAACCTGCCTCCAAAAGCAGTGAATGCTCGGTGATGTAAACCCCAGCTAGGTTTGGGTAAAAACCTCTTTGCACCAGGTCCTGATTAGGTTGGCTTTAAACAGCAGCAGCTCCACTGAGTCCGATAATTTGCATTTTGAAGTAATTTCAGATTCGGATGCAAAGTTTTCAACCTCCAAAGGGCAACCGCCAAAAACATTCTTATCATTCAACGTTTTTTGTTTTTGTTTTACCTCTGAGAACGGTCAGTTTGGCGTTGACCGTGATCTCCGCCACAGAATTCTGGGCAACGCATTCATAAATGTTTTCATCTCGAGGTGTCCGAAGTGGCTGTATCCTCAAGACTGCTCCAGCGCCTTCATCAAATTCGATGGTCTGGATCGGAGAGAGAAGAAGGAATTAATTAATGGAATTAATTCCATTCAATTGAAGAGGAGATCCATCCATTGTCCTGGGTCTCTCTCTTTCCCCCCCCTCTCTCTTTCCCCCTCTCTCCCTCCTTCTCCCTCCCTCTCCCTCTCTCTGTATAAAAACCACCACAATCTTTGCAACAGACCAACATCCCAAGGAGGTGTGTTTGTGCGTCTATTTACCCATCCCTCCTTGCATGCAGCTAGTTTCCCAGATGTGGGTCTGTGCGTCTGCATAAACAAGCCCACAATCTTTGCAACAGGCCAACTTCCCAGGGATGTGTGTGTTTGTGTGTCTATATACCCATCCCTCCTTGCAAGCAGCTAGTTTCCCAGATATGTGTCTGTGCATCTGCATAAAAAATCCCACAATCTTTGCAACGGACCAGCTTCCCAAGAACGTGTATATGTGTGTATATGTGTGCCTAAAAACCACCACAATCTTTGCAACAGACCAACTTCCCAGAGCTGTCTGTGTGTGTCTATTCACCCATCCCTCTTTGCATGCAACTACTTTCTCAGGAATGTGTGTAAGCATGCATAAAAAAATCCCACAATCTTTGCAACAGACCAACTTCCTAGGGATGTGTGTTTGTGTGTGTGTATAAAGACCACCACAATGTTTGCAACAAACCAACTTCCCACAGCTGTGTGTGTATGTGTGAGTGTCTATTTACCCATCTCTGTTTGCATGCAGCTCGTTTCCAAGGAATGTGTCTAAGTGTGTGCATAAAAAAATGCAAAATCTTTGTAATGGACCAGCTTCTCGTGTGTGTGTGTGTGTGTGTGTGTGTGTATGTGTGTGTGTGTCTACCTATTTACCCATTCCTTTGAACGGAGCTAGTTTCCCAGATATGTGTTTACGTGCATAAAACCCCCCACAATTTTTACAAAAGACTAACTTCCCAGTTGTGTGTACGCATGTAAGTCTATATTTACTTAAATAATTTATATGAACACATCACAAAACCTCCAGGGGAAAAACGCCAACTACAGGTGGTCCTTGACTTACGACCACAATTGAGCCCAACCTTTATGTTGCTAAGTGAGACATTTGTTAAATGAGGGGGTTTTGCCCCATTTTACGACTTTTCTTGCCGCAGTTGTTAAGTGAATCACTGCAGTTGTTAAGCTGGTAACCTGGTTGTTAAGTGAGTCTGGCTTTCCCCCCCCCCTTGACTTTGCTTGCCAGATGGTCACAAAAGGGAATCACCGGGACACGGCGACCGTCATAAATATGAGTCAGTTTGCCAAGCGCCTGAATTTTGGTCACGTGACCCTGGGGATGCTGCGACGGCTGTTAAGTGTGAAAAACAGTCATAAGTCACTTGTTTCTGTGCTGTTGTAGCTTTGAATGGTCACGAAATGAACCGTTGTAACCCGAGGACTACCTGTACAGCATCCTCCCAGAGAGCTGACAGCACCTGAACTGAAAACAAAACTCCCTATTATAAAACCCCACTGGCTGCACAGCTGGCCCAACCTCCCACTCCCAACAGCTGAATGGCCAAGTCAGACGGAGGTCCAACCAGATAGAGCAGGGGCCTTCAAACTTGGCCCTTTTATGACTTGTGGACTTCAACTCCCAGAATTCCTCAGCCAGCGTGCCTGTTATTCTGTTATTTGTCTGGAATGGTTTAGGCCAGGGGTAGGCAACCTTGGCTCTTTTATGACTCGTGGACTTCAACTCCCAGAATTCCTGAGCCAGCCACGCTGAGGGGAAAGGGAGAGGTTTCCAAGCTGAGCCATGCTGGCTCAGGAATTCTGGGAGTTGAAGTCCACGAGTCATAAAAGAGCCAAGGTTCCCCACTCCTGGTATAGGGTCTCCTGCTTCAGCAAGGGGGTTGGACTGGAAGATTTCCAAGGTCCCTTCCAGCTCTGTTATTCTGTTATTTGTCTGGAATGGTATAGGGTGGTCTCCTGCTTCAACAAGGGGGTTGGACTAGAAGACCTCTTAAGAACCCTCCCAAGCCTACTATTCTACGATTCTGTTACCTTACCTCAAACCTCTGCGAGTTCACTTTCTTTCCCTTCTTGTTCCAGGTGACGCGGGGCTTGGGGTCTCCCGTCGCTTGGCACACGAAGGACGCTACGCCTCCCGACACCCCGATCTGGTCCACGGGGTGCTTGACGAACTGTGGGGGACCTGTGGCCACGGGGGAGGGGGGAGAGGAGAAAGAGGAACAAAAACAGCAGAGTTATTAGACAAGTCGAGGGGTTGGCTTCGCAGACTCCAACCTCCTCGTTATTTATTTATTATCGATTTATTAGGATTATTAGAGTTGTATAGTAGTCCTTTCAGCAGTTCCACACCCATTTGCACCATTCAGGGGACCCGGAGGGCACAGATGAACACCTCCCAGTGGCCTCAATGACCCTAACGACCAGATGATTGCAAGGGATTTAAGTTCTGCCATCCTCCACCATTCAGTCAGAACTGAAGAAAGCTTCTTGGATCAGAAGCAAAATGTTTTCAAGGGAAAACCTGCCTCCAGAAGCGGTGAATCCTCCAACACTGGAAGTTTTTAAGAAGAGACTGGACAACCATTTGTTTGGAATGGTATAGGGCAGGGGTAGGCAACCTTGGCTCTTTTATGACTGGTGGACTTCAACTCCCAGAATTCCTGAGCCAGCCATGCTGAGGAGAAATGGAGAGGTTTCCATGCTGAGCCATGCTGGCTCAGGAATTCTGGGAGTTGAAGTCCATGAGTCATCAAAGAACCAAGGTTCCCTCCCCCTGGCCTGGATCAGTAATAGGCAACCTTGGCTCTTTGATGACTCGTGGACTTCATCTCCCAGAATTCCTGAGCCAGCCATGCTGAGGGGAAAGGAAGAGGTTTCCAAGCTGAGCCATGCTGGCTCAGGAATTCTGGGAGCTGAAGTCCACGAGTCATGAAAGAGCCAAGGTTGCCTATCCCTGACCTAGATGATAGATAGATAGATAGATAGATAGATAGATAGATAGATAGATAGATAGATAGATAGATAGATAGATAGATAGATAGATGGATAGATAGATAGATCTAGATCAGGGGTAGGCAACCTTGGCTCTTTTATGACTCGTGGACTTCAACTCCCAGAATTCCTGAGCCAGCCATGCCGAGGAGAAAGGGAGAGGTTTCCAAGCTGAGCCATGCCGGCTCAGGAATTCTGGGAATTGAAGTCCACGAGTCATAAAAGAGCCAAGGTTCGCCACCACTGGTATAGGGTTACCTGCCTGAGCAGGAGGTTGGACTAGATGACCTCCAAGGTCCCTTCCAACTTTTTTTTATTTTTTTTTATTATTATTATTATTATTATTATTATTATTATTATTATTATTATTATTATTATTATTATTATTATTACTATTACTATTACTATTACTATTACTATTACTATTATTATTGCCAAACCAAGAAAGTCCCGTTGCCTTTTGAAAAAGAACCTTTGGGACAACCATGACCTGGACGACTGAGAATCCTCTTACGACCAAAATTTCCCTAGCTAGGCAAGATGGTTTGCTAAATGAGTTTTGCCTGGTTTTTTGTTTTTGGTTTTTTTGTTTTTTTTTTACTTTTCTCGCCCCGGCTGTTAAAATGAATCACTGCAGTTCTTCAGTGAGTAACACAGTTGTTAAGTGACTCTGGCTTCCCCCGTTGACTTTGCTTGTCAGAAGGTCACCAAAAGGGATCACAGGACCCCAGGGACACTGCGACCGTCGTAAATATGAGCCAGCTGCAAGTCTGTGACTTTTGATCACGTG